TACAAGTATGTATGTATGTATGTATGTATGTATGTATGTATGTATGTATGTATGTATGTATGTATGTATGTATGTATGTATGTATGTATGTATGTATGTATGAATGTATGTGTGTATGTACTTACACGAACGGACTAGAATATATAGATATAAATACTTAGACTACATTAGAAAAATAAATCTCTTTAAATTATATTCAGCTTTTCATTTTCAAAATTTCATACTACAATTCGAATATATCAATACAACCTTAAAGGTATGTGATTAATTTCTAGCTGCATGTGATTAAAAGATACGTCTGGTGTAGTGTGTTATTTTCAGTTCTATTTTTTCCCTTCATATTGAATTTTTATGAACGTAATATATAATTTAAATTCTATGTATATTATCTACATGGTTTGTTATTGTATTTTTAAACCATTTTTGTACAGCCTCTAGAAATGTCCCTCTGGGACAACACGGTATCAGTTCATGTTTTTAAAAATCTGATCATTAATTTTCACAGATACGAGGCGAGGTTGAAGGTAGACAATCTGAACACCAGCAGTGTTGTCCAGCATAGTATTCCCTCCCACCCGTTCCTGGTCACGAGTTCAGACCCGCTCTTGTATCGGGGAGAAGAAGATCCGGTGGTGGGGGTCAAACTCAAAGGCCCCAATCTCCGCGAGGTTATCTCCAATATGACCTTGGACATCCAGTACAAGGCCGAAACGGAAGATGGAAGCGAGGTCAGGGAGATAAAATGTGATCTAAAAGATGAAAGAGACAAAGTCTGCTCTTCTTTCGTAAAAAAGGAATATTGGAGCTCGATGGACGTCGACATCGTGATTAAATCATCCGAGATTCAGCCAATTGGCTTGACGAGGATTAGCTCAAACACGGAAGCACGAGACCAGCTAGTGACCAATGTTCAACTCTCAAAGGTCATCAGCATACGTCACGTCGATCTCCCAGAACCATACCCTGCTGATGTAGGCAGAGTAGAAGTGACCACATCCGGATGTAAATATTTCGGCGACAGATGTGAGGTTATGTGCAAGGTTTACGGACGCAGATTCACGAATCCGAAAATGTACAGATCTCGGTCGAAATACTCTCGAGAAAATCTCTCTTCGGTCTTATATAAGGTCAGCGCGTCAAGCCTAACTTACGTTACAACAATGAGGGTACCAGATATAAGATCGGGCGTAAGAGCAGAGAATGTGACATGCTTGTCCCACAGCTCCAAAAACTACACAATAGTGTACAACAGAACAACAACCATCACTTACAAGGGAGAAGCCAGATTTTCCAAGTATGACAGCTACGTTCAGCAGAGCGAAACGTACACTCGCCTCGTATGCACGATCGTAGGCTATCCTCTACCAGATGTTAGTGGAGTTTTGGTTAATACAAACGGAACCATTATACCTTCCAGCAACGAAACTGTCGTTCGGACAAGCGAAGTCGAGCAGAGATATGCATATTTATTCGAAATCGACGCCTCCACAAACAGTGACGTCACTGGTTTATGCGAGGCTAGCAATAACACGGCGAAGGTTGCCGAGCTAAAGGTGACAGATATCTACGTCATCCACCAAGACTATGGAGACTACCCTAACTACTAGAGGCCACCACAATGTGGGTGGTTGGAGGGTGTCCTGATGTAGTTTCCTTTATCTTTTCTGTCAAACATCGTTCGTCCTTATCTACCCTCTATGGTGGAGCTATTTCTATAACTATGTTGGTACCATAGAGAAACTATCGCTGTACAAAAGAAAAGCTATCACGGTAGAATACCACGTAAGAGCAAAGGCTATGACTAAGGCGTAGTACGGAGGAGTTATAACTATTATAATTAGGATAGATGCATGGTGCAGCTATTACTACAACTAGGGAACACTAACAGGAAGCTTTTACGATACCGACTTGCTGACATCGCCGAGAGGACAACATTCATGACATTTTCGATGTATCGGTACTGGTATTTTCTATTGGGTTAACCCTAGGATAAATAATGGCGGGTCTCATGGACCAAGCAACCCTTTATAGTTTACACAGTTAGGGTTAGGGATGTGGTTCAAGTCAGTGTTAAGTAAGGGTTAGGGTTAGCCAGGGGTTTACAGTTGGAGTTAACGTCTGGGTTAAAGTCAGGGTTTCAGAGTTATTAAAACATTTTAGTATAATTCTGATTTTAGCTTTCAAGCAAAAAACAGTAATTGACGGGCTAAATAAGTAAATGATATCATGTTGGATTCTAGTTAAAGGCTACATAATATTACAAATTATTTACAACTCCGTTTTTGTCAAAGGTCATAGAATGAAAACCAACGCTCTCGCTCCTCTGAAGTGGAACGGATAGGGGCACATCAGAAGACTATATTGAAATAAGATAAGATGAGACTTTTTCGAAAATTTCCAGACGCTGGCATATTGGTTGGTGATTCACCACACATACGCGGGCACGCACACACACACATGCACACACACAAACACACACACACACACATACACACACACGCACACACACATACACACACACACACACAAACAAACACACACACACACACACACACACACACACATTCCATACACACATACTCATTCAAATATCCTTGTTTCCAAAGATATACACATAAACATAATGTACACACAATATGAAATATGTATTGACATAGGAATCTTTTGAAACCAAAGTATTAAACATGTGACATGCTGGAAGTCGACATAATTGAAGTTAAGAGTTGTTGATGATTAGATGAACACAATATAATGTACAATTAATATTTTTGGTAAACAGTGTGTCACCAGAACTTGAAAAAGAAAAAAATAGATCTGTCCATCTATCTATCTATCTATCTATCTATCTATCTATCTATCTATCTATCTATCTATCTATTATTTTCATACTCTTTATACACGGAAGCAGCCAAAACTCCTGTATTTTAGATCCTCCAGATGGTATTTAAAACATTGCTTAATGCACTGACAATACGTCTGCAAGATGTGCAAAAGCATATTATTTTGTCTATAGTGAAATCAAATATTAGAGTATTCTGAAAGAAGAGAGAAGAAAACGTCCAAGATGCCATATCAGAGAGCATAGCGTGATTAAAAGGGTCAGATCTCCAGAGTTAACCTCTTTCTCTACCAGCGTCTGTGGTGTTAGGTGAGGTGCTTTTGCTATCGCGTTCAGGAGACCCGAGTTCAGTTCCCAAGCGGACGTAGCAATATTTTCATAGAGTACATTGTATCTCGGTCTCTTCTCTGGGATGTCGTATACAAGCCAGCCTCCTAAATGATCTAACTTGCGTCGATTGGGTTGTAAAGCACCTTATATTAAGAACAAACATCTGTCTCTGATGCGAAGCACGCAAGCAGATGGAGTACTTCAAGAGTGTCTTGAACAAAAGAAAATTAAAAACATCTCGTTGAGGTTCGAACCAGGGTCTTCCACTCATTATTTCAGAGCGGCAACGACAACAACAATAACAAAAAAGCAACAACAATACTAATAATAATAATAATAATAATAATAATAATGACAATTATAATGATAATAATAATGATAATAATAATAATAATAATAAAAATAATGTTGATGAGGATGATAACAAGAATAATAATAATGTTGACAACAACAACAACAACAACAACAACAACAACAATAACAATAAAAATAATCATAATGATAATAACAATAATAACAGCAATAACTGTAATAATGATAATAACAACAATACTAATAATAATAATAATAATAATAATAATAATAATAATAATAATAATAATAATAATAATAATAAAAATAATAATAATAATAGGTCTAACGATGGGAAATACATAGTAAGCTGGGTAGATTATTTCTAAATTAATTAAGAGACGCAGAAGGAGTAAGGTTAAGGATGATTTGTGGCTTTTGCTATGGGCAATGAAACTAATTAATTGAAAGAATAAATTATGTTGATCCCATCTTGAGCGTCACAATATAATAGAGGAAAATTGAGGAACATAAAAAACGCAATTAAATCAATTTTAAAAAATAAACCTTTACACACATTTGAAAACTGAATACTGCCCTCCCCCCAAAAAATAAAAAAAATAAAATAAATAATAATAAAAAAAATAAATAATAAAGTATAAAAATAGAATAGACTTACAAGAAACTCATATGATGGAAAATATACTGGTGACTGATAATCCATTTAACCGGGAAAACTTAATAATAACATTGCTTTAGCCCTCCATTCGGAACTTAGTGTACTAGTTTTTATATTCAGGGTCTCCACCCACTCTCTGTTGGGTCTAATTTGAATAACTGTAACGTTATGCTGCATAAATGACGCTTTTTACACATTTCAAGACGAGCAGGGGGGGAAGGAGGGGGGGGGGTGGCAGGACTTACTTGTACTCAATAATCCTACAATGTCCTCTGCCTCCTTTCCTCGCTCGTAACATGTATTAGAACTAGCTTTCAGCTTGACTTTTCCTGAGAGTATTGAAATATTATAATTTGAGCGATCGGTTTACGCATATAATACTTACTTTTTTGATGAACCACCACCTCAATGAAACAGTGTTTGTGGTGTAGTGGTTGGGCGCTTCACTATCGTGCACAGAAGACCCAGATCCGATTTCCGTGCGGAGACACTTTTTAATTGAGTTGTTAAAGGGAGATAAAAGATGTAAATTTCACAACATTTCTATTTCAGAGTATTTGCCCCTTTTTTGAACCTATGGCCACACAGTCCTGAAATGCAATGTTGCGTAATTTTTGTTTGTTCGTTTTAGTAAGTGTTTTACGGTGCTCGCAACTGCATACGGTCATATGAGCGCTGGACACATTCTAACATTTTCAGTTTGGTAAGAATTTTGAATTGTGGCCGAAGCCTACTCTTATCGATATTAGAGCCACCAAGGGTTCTTTAACGTGCGCAACTTGCACATGGGACCTCCGAGATTTTTCTCCCTTATACGATAAGGCTAGGATCTTACCTAACATAAGACCAAGGGTGTGGCTGAAAGACAACAGTAAGAAGGAGTCAAGGAGTAACAGTAGAAAGACCGAGGAAAGAGTCAGGAGACCAAAGGAGGGGGGCAAAGGGGGGAGGGGAGGGGGCAAAAAGTGGAGACAAAGTCAGGCGATAGAACATGATTAGACAGCCAGAAAGGAGGTGGAAGGTGAACATTTTAGAGAAGACAATTTTCCGTTGCTGTCAGGTTTCGAACCTGGGACCTACTGAATGAGAGGTGAACACTGTAACGTCTGAGACCACGAGAGCCCCCTTATCTTATTAGTATTTTCAAAATTCACATAAACATCTACAATTAAAAATACTTTACAACCATAGGCCGGCTCCACAGATGAATGCTTTTGCTTGTGAATCTGATGTGGTATTTACAGAACATTATACCTGATTTTCAATAAGTAATCTTGATAGTAGCTTCAATGTTTTAGGCCTCCATCAAATCAATTTAAACAGCAAAGGAGACGGGCTGCTTTGACCTTTCTTTTCGAGGCAAACCTGAACAGCGTTGGACACATGATCACAGCAGACAAATTATAGATACAAAAGATAAAAACACATTTTCCCACATAGGCATCGAACTCTCGTCTTCTGTGTGCAAGGGCGAGAATCGTATCTTGTGACTGTTACAGTGTTCTCAACGATGTTACAGCTTCTTCACTTGTGACGCTACAGGGTAGAAATAAATCATTCTGTTTAATCTCCTCTGGTTGTTGCAAACTGGTCTAAAAGTTGGATAACCGACAAATCTAAAAGCCTATTAATGAAGGCCATATTAAAATATAGGGTCCCGCCATTTTTTTTCTTCGATGTTAGCCTAAAACGGGTCTACAATGGGTGATTCACAGCATGCACCTAGAACATTAAGAAGTTACCCTATTTTTATCAACACTACACCCAAACGTACGCCTATGAAACACGGTCCAAAAGACAGTGTGCTGCTGATCGGATATTATTAATAAAATGTGTAACTGCACGATGGAACAAGTCGCTCGTACGTATTTGAGCATATTAAGTTAATGGTATACACTTATCGCTTGCTCATTTGTCTTGTTTTTGAGAAAAATAAAACATGCCCCCATTTATCTTGAATAAAAGTCGAGATATTTGCGACTTAAGGAGGTACAGGTCGCCTGGTAGGAGAGGTAATATTAGCGAGAAAATAGCCGCCAAAGTGTGGTTACTTCTAAGATTCCTAATTGTTATTGGAAACTGAAAATTTACATTTTTACTCCATGGAACAAAATGTTTGGGTAAACTCAACAGAGTATGATTTTAATCAGAAACAACCCCCC